CATCATCATCATCGTCATCATCATCATCGTCATCATCATCATTAGCAACATCATTATCAACATCATTATCAACATCATTATCAACATCATCATCAACATCATCATCAACATCAGCATCATCAATATCAGCATCGTCGTACTTCAGCTCAATCTAATAATTTCTTAATTTCCTCCTCTAGATTCTTTTTCGTTCATCCGTTTGTCATGTTTCTTTGCCTGCGGTGTTTGGCCTCTGGCTGACTTAGATTCTTATATGGATAATTCATGCTGAGGAGTCGATTCTAAAAGATATGCTCAGTTTCACATGCGTAGAATCCGAAAATAAGATACATTTGTTCTTCTGACATTTTGAAACATGAACGAGAAGTCTCCGTATATTAAATCTTCGGATTTAGCGGAACCGTCTGGAGCACGATTCATTTCATGTGTCGTTGATGAAGAACTTAGAAGTCATGTAGAGCGGAATTTCGTTGATGAAAAAACTTACAAGTCATTTGGAGCAAAACTATGTTGTGATCATTCTTAGATGAGAATTTAGACCTTTAAAACGCTGAGATTTTGTTGGAATCAGTTTTACATAAAATTTGCATTGATAGTGTTTTTTTTAATGAACAGTGTAAGCTTTTTGCAGTTTGTACGGCGGATACCGACTGTGCGGTTCTAAGGAAGTGCGCAGTATGGTTTCGCGGTGAGCCTGTTTTTCTTAATATTTGCAATTTTTTTCAATTCGAAGTTATTTTTAAAATTTCTTTGTTCGAAACAAATGAGGTGACAAAGTGATTTGTGACTGGCGATGAAGGAATGGAATATTTATGTCCTGTAGTTGAAAAAGTTGACAACAATTAAGAAATGCGTGTTATGGAAGGATTTTTGAGTCCTTGTTGGATATACTCGAAGATTTTGAGAATTCGACTTTTCTTTCTTGAATCCTGATTCCGATTCTAATGCTTTTAACCGGAAGAACATCATGATATTATTTGATTGGGATTACTCGTCCGGATGCTTTTTCCTGGGTGAATTTAAGCCTGGTTATTTGTCGATAATGTGATTGAAGACTTAATTTCAAGGAATAATTCAGTTGGGATATGAGTGATATGGTGAGAATAAGAGCGTTATCGTTCTGGCAGTAATCGTTAATTACACCATAAGTAACGAGTGATGATGAGGTACAAATGATAAGGTTTTGTAGTGCTTCCAGAAGAAAATCGATTGTTCGATGTGTTTTCCTTTCGAGGAATCTTTGGTTTTTCTGTATTGTTCTTTCTGAAATTTTATTTTCCTGTTCCTTTATTTATTACCGATTTTTCCTTAAATAAAAAAAGTAGAACAGCAGGTAAAATAATATGGTTATTTTAGAAATTGACATATTTTCCATGATAGATCTATATGAAAAGAACCTAAATGCTGAATGCAGCCGCATACATGCAATGATTGGAATTATGTTGTCATCTTTATATTAAATATTTCAAATTCTTTTTAGTTTCAAAAATCAAATTATCTACCAATATCAGCGGATAATGGCGAACACCTTTTTTCACAGAGAACACCCATAAAACGTCGACATTCCAATGTTGGTCCACTGCAGCTTGCACGTGCTGCCAAAGAGTTTGTTATTGCTTCATTTTCGCTCTATTTATAGTTTTACTGAAGATTGTAACAGATTCTCCATGTTTGTATTCCCTAATCCTTTTTGATTCCACCATCCTCTGTTCACTATTGATTACTTCAATTTATTAAATTTTATTGGTAGATATTTGAAACAGAATTTACGACAATCAGAAATTCTAATTTAAGCTTAACAATTTAAAGAACTTGAAAGGAAGTAATTTTGATTAATCAGAAATATAATCGTTTCTGACTGATCGAAATCGCAAAGCATGCTTTTTTTATCAGTGATGAAAGGAAATATATTTTCTAATTTTTCAGCTTCATTGTTCATGGTAGTAATGCGAAATTCCAGCGACAGCTTTCTGAAATGACAAAAAGAACGTTACCTAAACCTCCTTCTCAGTTTTTTGAGCCTTCTGAAGTTCCCAATGTTCCACAAAATGAAAAACCAGAAGTGTATTACGTTTTACACAATATTAAGTAAGTCTTGTATATTTTCTCTTCATATCGAAAGTCTATTATGGAGACTGCTCCCACATTTGACAATAATACGGTTACCTAATTATAGGAAATAAGTATTAAATACAATATGAAATTAAAGTCGTTGAATTAAGAGCTTTTTTTAGGATGTTAGAACTGCCATCAGAATGGTATGCACAATGGAAAGATCTGGCGGTAGTAGAATATAGAGAGAATGATTATCTGATTAGACCTGGTGATAAAGATAACTGCATCATTGTTGTTTTGGAAGGAATCATTGCTGTCTTTATAACGGTATATTTTTGACAAAAGAAAACAGGAAAGCTAAAAATTACTTCTTCAAATCTTGCCTGCAGTTATTCAGTTTCTTGTTTACTGTTTCAATTTGTATTATAGTGAAGCTGATATATTATAGCATACTGAAGGAAAAGAACTTATGGTTCGGAAAATTACAGTTGGTGATAGCTTCTTCAGTCTTTTGTCGATTTTGGATGTTTTGATGGTATAATTCAAGTTTTGTTAAGCGTTTTTTACTCAAAAACTGTGCTACCCTTGTCTTGTTATAGTTCGGAATCTTGTTGGACAGTGATGAGAATGTTATTATTATATAATTGTTTTTTCAGTTTTGCTGAATCTTCAATTTTTAATTTTCTTTCAGAATCATGAAATAACTTTTCGAAATATATCAGTGAGAGCATTGACTGCATGTCGAATTGCCAAGTACGTTTTTACACTTATTACTATTATCAGAGATTGTAAAAACTAATGACGGATGACGGATACATGAGAAATTATTTTAAAATCTTTTTGACAAAACATTTATTTTTTATACAGGTTATTTGAAAGAGCTCTGGAAAAAAGTATTTTGTCAAACAGTGACTACCAATAGAATGTTTAAATTAAGAAAGTATTTATATATTTTTATTTTTCCTGGAATGTACACTCTCAACACTTGATTTTTTGAATAAATTTGAATTTTTGGATGTAGCACATGAAAATTTGTTACAGGTACAGCACGAGCAGTTTTCGGGATTTATTTGTCAAGAATCCCAAATCTTGGGTTCGGCCAATTCAAATTGTCTTAACACGACTGCTACATGTTACTTTGACGACACTTCACCAATATCTCGGCTTGAGCATCGAATTAGCAAAAAAAGTGAATTCAGTGATATTTATTTCATGCGGCTAATAGGAGATTTCTTCTATAATACTTAGTTTAAAGCAATATTTTCTTTTCAAGATTTTGCAGAGAATTTTTATTTATCAGTTATTCCATTCATTTAATGTAGCTAAAAATATAACACAGATTTCAGCGTCCTGATGAAAGGCGTAATATCGATGAGCGTCATCGGCATCAAGCTGGAAACACTTGTTCAGTTCGTCTGCAGGCCAAAATGCGACCGCGTGTTTGTCGTTTAAATAGTATTGATGGTAGATTGTTGTTGTCTCCATTCAAAATTTCATTTTTTTCAGTTTTCAATTTTTTAAATTCATCCACATGAATTCCGCATATCAATCACAAATTTCATTTTCTTTTTGAGATTCGAAGGAATATATGGCGACAGCACAGCGATGGTTTGCTGAAACACTTCACCTAGGTGTTAGTGCTGAAGCGACAGCACTTTTTGCGGGTCGTATAACCATTGAGAATGTCCCCGAGAAACATCTTATTGTAGAGCAAAATTCTGAAGAGGAGATGTTAATTTTAGTTCTCAGTGGTCTTCTAACTATTTCACAGGTTTTTTTTGTTCTGCATCAATCAAAGTATGAAAATTCGACATGCCTATAGTTATTTATATAAAAAATTTGTGACCGATTTAATTTTAATTTTCTTTGGAAGTTTAGCTGTTATTCGCTGGATAAAATGTGTAAATCGGTACTATGACAGATGGGATGGTTGAATATGAAATTAATATTTTAATTCTAAAAAAATTTGTTTGAGGAGCCGATTGATGGTGAGGATGAAAATATGGATGAGGAACATATTTTAATATATCCACGCGAACTTATCGGTGGATTACAATTACTTACTGGTGAGCCATGGTTTGTTACAGTTCGATCTCATACATATGCAATATACGCTACTATTTCGAAGAAAGATTTTTTCGAGTTGGTTTTTATCTTTCTCTTTTACTAATTTCTGATAATATTATCGGAACTATACAACACAAGGTCCAAAAAACTAGTTAAAATTGAGTTAATTTTGATTTCATGAGGTTAATTTTAATTCCTTTGTTATTTTAATTAATTTTTCAAAAAAATCATTATGGATTTCAATACATTCAACAAGTTACCAATAGCATTATGCCTTGCTTTTTGTCCATCATTAGAGATTTTTTTTATAATTAATTGTTAAGTTTGGTTGATATCCATCCGGAAATCGTATTACCAGTCGCACATTCAGTTATTCGACGATTGAGTTCTTTTGTTCGAAATGTAGATTTTGCTATTGACTGGGTATTGCTTGATTCCGGACAGGCTGTATACAAGTAAGCCCTCTTTTTAAAACTTATTAAAGAACTGATCCGTAATAATCTGTTAACTGTGTCAAAATTAATTACTTCGTTTAGAAGTGGTGATGTAGCCGATTCAATATTCGTCCTTTTAAGTGGGCGACTTCGATCTGTGGAAGACAAGAAAATAATCGAAGAGTTCGGACGCGGCGATGTTTTAGGGATGATTGAGGTAATATTTTTTTCATTTAGCATAATTATTTTTGTTTGGATTATTTGCATTTTTGAGAAACTCAAATTATGTTTGTCATTTATTGTAAAACTTTAATTTCAGGTCCTGCAGCGGGTACCGCGTGCCACCACTGTACTTGCAATTCGTTTTTCACAATTAGCACGACTTCCTGAAGGCCTTTTGAATTTCATTAAAATAAAGTTCCCTCAGGTAATTCTAATTTTTTATATGCCATGTTAGTGTATTATCTAGTTAAATTTGATTGAATTCATTAATTATAGGTTGGATTTCGCCTTGTCCATTTGCTGGGTCAGTATTACACTTCATCGATACAAAGTACATCTACATTTAGATGTGGATACAAGGATATTTCAATAACAACAGGAGATCAACAGAGTCACATAAAGGTAAACAGATCACTTCCAGAACTTTTGACCATTTTGAATCAGTATTTCATTCAAATCTCTACGCTAAATTCAATTGTTTAGGATTTTTAAAGTTTTTAAGCAGAAGGACAAAGTATTGCCTGACCAGATATGACTTGGTGTTCTGTCGACATTATATGTTCATTTACGTGAAGATTTACTTTACTGGTGAAAACAGATCAAGGTTTAACATGAAATCATGAAATCTTTGCAGAATTTACATACCATTGCGGTAGTAGCTGCAACACCCGATGTGCCGTTAACTGCATTCACGTGTGAACTATATCACGCTCTTACTGCAAATTTGCTGGTTCTGCGGTTGAGCAGCCAGAAAATAGCCGAATTGTTGGATGTCAGCGTACTGGAAAAGTAAGCTATTATTTGAAATTGCTAAAAATCAAAGTAAACTTAAAATGATGCTCGATTTCAATATCATTTGTAATAATTTTCTCTTCTTTGTCCGCTGCTTTTATGTTTTTCCAAATTGTGATATATATTTAAATTTATATGTGAGAAGTAATGCAAATTTTTATTTAGGATTTTAACCGATGAGACCTACGACGGGTAATTTTAACATTTCCTTCTGTCTTCTCGTGCTTTGATTAATTTATTTTACTGTGAATTTACCTGGTGATTAAATTGAAGTTGGTTAAGTAACTAACATATAACTTTTTTATATGATTATATTTGATCATATCCGGTTTCTAAATCTATTTTTATTGCGGGTGCACTGAATATCGGGATAATTCTTGCACTTCTGTTTTTTCCTATCATTTATCTCCATATTTTCCTTGCTTTTTCAGAACAGTGGTTTTTCACTTAGCATGTGAGATTAGTTGAGATAAAACAAGCCTATTTTGTCATTTTCAGCAGGGTTAAACTACCTATAAATTTCTTTGCACACTCATTTATGAATTTGTTGTCATTCATTTAATCCATTGACCATTATTTTGCATATAGTCCATTTCTGAACCGCATGTACATTTTTTTTTGCTAAACATAGTAATTTTATTTGGAGAGTTTTTTTGTGGATAGCACAAGAAAGTCTGCTTGAATTTTAAAATTCATCAAATAAGTTCAAAATGTTTCAATATATCATGCAAGCATATTTACTCAACAATTAAAGATATATAGCAAAACTTCACACTGTGAATGAGTGTTATACAAATTGTAATATCTGATTTAAGAACTTCAGTATATGTTGTCACCATTTAACTTCAGATTTCGATTTTGCGGTAGATTTTGAATCAGTACATAACAGTTTAGAAGTTCTGTTTTTGGGAATGCATTCATTGATTATAGAGAATTTTAATTTTTCATATGTACTTTTACTTTAATGTTGAAATAATTTTATCACAGGCAAGCAGATTTTCGTCTTATGCACTGGCTTAATTTGCAAGAAGATACTTATCCTTTAATTATTTATGAATGTGACACAAGCGCTACAAGTTGGACACGACGTTGTCTTCGTCAAGCAGATGCAATATTGTTCATTGCAAACGGCGAACAAAAGCCACTGCAACAGTCATTAGTTAGTTTTTGGCTTGGCTTTTGTCTATATGGAGATTATAGGGAAGCAGTTTTAAAACTATTCTAAATTTTGCACACTTATTTAAGATAATTCTAAATAATTTTATTAAAAAATGAAAGTTAAAAACATTCCACTGGTATTATTGGTAAAATTTCAGATGGATGATTATTTGAACATGAACGAGGATGGTATTCGAACAAACAAGGAACTGATCCTTCTTTGGAATGAAAAAACCGTGGAACCACAAGGAACGATTGAATGGCTAAAAGGAAGTTGGTTTTCGGGTCACCATCATATCCGTATTGATAAACGGATGGTACAATGGGACTTGAAGAAGGTCAGATTTAGTTTCAAAATGAGAGAACTAAATATGAGAGTAAAAGCAATGTTATAGCGAAATAATGTTGTTGCATCTGTTACAAATATATTTGGTGAGACCTCATTTTAGATTCTTTTAGGTATCTGAATCCGACATTGTGTCCTTCTATGAAAAAAACATTTATGGTGGAAAGGTTGACAATGGATCAGATTTTTCAAGGCTAGCTCGAATACTGACTGGAAATGCAATTGGTGTTGTGCTGGGTGGAGGTGGCGCAAGGTTACTTTTTGCATTTGAAATATATTTCAGAAACAAAACATCTAATTTAATTTCTCTCGGGATTTTAAATTTAATTTAGCAATAAGCCAAAATGTTCTCGTTTTGCAGAGGTGCAGCTCATGTTGGTGTGTTGCGTGCAATACAAGAACATGGTATCCCAATCGATATGATAGGAGGAACATCTATTGGGTCTATGATCAGTGGTTTGTACGCTCAAGAGGTTGAAGGTGTAGAGCAGAGAGCGAAAAGTTGGTTCATGGTTGGTTATATCCATTCAGAAAAATTGAAAATATTTAAAAGAAATCAATTTTCTATAGCACAGTGTAGTATTGTTCAGTATCTAGCAATCTAGTTTTTTATCAATTAAAACCAATGTGTGAAGTAAGTTCAGAAATATCGTTTCCTCTGCGGCCGAACACTTGTTTTTCAAATATTCATTCTATTATTAGATTACTTTGACATTTTTGTTGATTTTCACATGATATTCAATTTCAAACAATTTCAATACAATCTTAATGCGAACAATTTTGTATTGAAATATGAAATCTTATTAATAATTTTTTGATATTTAAATCAGTAACTGATAAACATCTACTTCTGTTCTATCATTTGGACAACATCGCCTATGTTTTCCACAATAAAGTAGTGACCTTGGCAAGATTGAGCGGTTTTTGTTTGGAGGGAAAAAATTTGCAAATTTAAATCCTATCAAAATCATCTGTTATGAAAACCAAAAAAGGTTTGAATGAGGAAAGAGAGAGGATATGAAGGTGAGGAATTTGCGTGGATTGTTTGGATTAAATTATATTTATTTACCACTAATTAAAGCATAATATATTTAGCATTTAAATACGAATTTACTATTCCTGCCACCAAAGTATTTAAATAGCATGATGAAATTATTTTAGTTGTGCAAGTTTCAGGCAAGTGAAAATTAATGTTTTAAGAAATGTTTATCAAAAAATTGACACACTATTAACTTGCAGATGATGGCTTCCATCTGGCCAAAAATATGGGATTTAACATATGCACATTCAGCGATGTTTACTGGTGCCGGTTTCAATCATGGTCTTCAGAATTTATTTATGGATTCATCAATCGAAGATTTGTGGATACCATATTTTTGCATAAGCACAGATATAAGGTTGGTTAAATTCTGTAACGCTCTCAATACCTCCTGTTTACTAGTTTGTGAACACTTTCAAGTGGCAGAATTGTGAAATTAAATGAATTTTTTTAGCAATTCGGAAATGCGGGTTCATCGAACTGGTCCATTATGGGCTTATTGTCGAGCATCGATGTCGTTAGCAGGTTATCTTCCTCCGCTCTGTGATCCAGTAGATGGTCATCTGTTGTTAGACGGTGGTTATGTCAACAATTTACCAGCGGATATCATGCAGTAAGTTCAGTTTTTAAATTAAATTTTGCAATTTTACCGATTTTAAGCACATCTTTGAATCATAGTAACTAAAAATAATGTGGTACTAGAAATCTTGGAAAATTAGGCAAATAAAAAGTTTTTGCACAATTATTGTTAGTGCATAAAGCAATGTGATTATACAATTATTGTTAATGCGTAAAACAGTGTGATTTTCATAGTAACTAATAGGGTAAGAAAAAAAAGCAAAGATAGGTAAGCAGGGATCAAAATTTTAAGATGACTAAATAAAGACAACATAAGGCACATTTTTAATACAAAATGAGAACGAAAAGAAACTAGCATTGATTCAATTTTTTATAGCCATATTCGACTGCAGAATCTGCTTGTGTAATGGATGAAAAAATGATCAAGATAAGATTAAGGGAATTTACAGACAATTGAAACGTGCATTCTAAAAATAAAAAAAACAGTACAAATTTTTTATTCACAACAATGATTCTACATTTTGTAAATATACTGAGTTAAGAGTTTTACTTCTTTAACGAAATTGCAGAATATGGAAGTTTAAATCGAAAATATCATAGTCCTGACTGCAACATGCAATTAACAAATTTTGGAATTTTCGAAACTTTTTGTTAGGTTTTTTTGATAATTTATTCAGATCTATGGGTGCTAAAATAGTAATCGCGGTGGATGTTGGTTCTGCTGCGGAAACAAATTTATATAACTACGGTGATTCATTGAGCGGATTTTGGGTACTATTGAAAAAGTTAAATCCATTTGCTGAACCAGTCAAAGTTCTGAATATGGAAGAAATACAAGTATTGCATAGATCTTTTTAAATTCGATATTTATCAGAATTTTCAAAGTCTACAATATTTCCTCATATTTTTGGCTTTATTTACGTGGTCATGAATTAAACTGGACATTTTAGCTAAAAAAATAATGAGAAATTCTCTTGTTTCTTTAACTGGCATCCCTGTCAAATAAATGATTAAAATGTATCATTAAGAGTCGTTTGGCTTATGTCTCTTGTGTGCAACAGCTACAATTGGTAAAAAATGCGGGATACTGTCAATATATACGACCGCCTATCGAGGAATTCAAAACCTTAGATTTTTATAAATATGATGAAATACGTGTGAGTTCTTTTCTTTCATTCTTTTTCATTCTTCAGGAATATTTTCGTGAAGAATGTTTGTCTTCTCAATATTTAAAATTGTTTTTAAAGTAGTTGACTTAATATTAAGTTAACTGAATTTAACAATCCAGAAGAAATCTGTAGGATCTCGGCTACAAACATGGTGTGAAGGAATTCGCAGAATTAGTGAAGACAAATGAAGATTTGAAGAGTGTTATTGATGCTGAGAAGTTGCGCTCACTGAAACGACGTTATTGGGGCCGTGAACCTTCGAAATTGGTTGCATATGATCGTGGCCGTGCTTCATCATTCACTAATCTTGCTGCTCAGGTCTGGAAACTTTGAATTTACTAGAACTAATATTTCTTTTCCAGTTCCGAATTACAAAAATTAGTTTTTCAGCTTTTATAGGAATTAGTTTTTTAGATCTTTTTCTTCTTTTTATTTTTCTTGTTTTCGCTTTTATGAAAATGATTCTATGTAATATAAAATGGTAATTCTCCAGGTGTCAAGAGTTCCTAAAGTACGTGAAAAGAGCAGTTTAAATGACGATGAAATTGAGGAAGATGGGCTGTCGGATGTTTGGTGGGATGAGGAGGAGGAAGAAGAACCAGACGTACAGTCGCAGCCAGCATATAATTCTGAAGATGTTGAATCTATTGAAGCAGGTTACATCAGTGAACCTTGCACTACTTATCAAAGTAAATACACATTCAGTAGTGAAGATGAAGTAAGCATTGATAAAAGTAATGATGAAAATAATCGAAAACGGATGACCACTTTATCTGAAGTGAGTCGGAACTGTGAAGAGAAGAGTGAAATGCAAAAGGTATTAAAGAAAACATCTGTCGTACGATTTGGATTGTCGGAATCACCAGTTAGCGATAAGCTACATGAAAATCAAGATGTAACGCTTAGAAGTTGATAATAATGAAATGCAATAAATCAGTAAGTTTTCCATTTCCCTGTTGGAACAATTTTCTCATGAATTTTCTAGAAAAAAATATGTTGTTTTAATATCAAAATCATTACTTAGAGTTCTAGCTTCCTTTGTCATAACTTTCATTTAATTTTTTCTCATAATTTACCAGTTTTCAGAATTACCTAGTTTGATAGTTATCAGTAGTAACCAGCTTTGTTGATAGGTCTTCATTTTCATAATTTGCTTATAGTTTTGATTGATCAGGTGCTTTCAGATGCTGCTAATCAGAATAAAAAGAAATACCCGTGAAATATGGCAACTGAATTCCTCTTCTGGATGGATTTTTTTACTGGAGATAAAATCAACGCATTTCATCGATGCTACCATTATCATTATATGTTATACTGATGATACATTCCATCCTCTTATCATTCATTTTTCTTGACAGTGACTCACATCTTATATCATTTTCCATTTTATGTTTTGTTTGTTCATTCAAATATTTATTCTATTATTTGGAAGCCAAATTTTTAAATTTACAAATTTTTTAGAAACATTTTGGAAAAAAATGATTTTTAAAATATGATATAAATTTGCGGCAGACATAAAGCAGCGATACGGAGTATCCTTTGTCAGTTTTGAGAATACAGGTTGAAATGCGGTAAGCATTTTATCATTTATCTTTCTAGAAAAAAGCACGTTAATTGTAAGACAGGGAACTGATTCATAGTTTTAATAGTATTTTATAAGTTAAATCTTACGTGCTAGGATCGCTCTACTCGAACATAGTAGCATTCCAGAAATGTTAAAAGGATTGCATAGGTAACTTTACCAATCTTCTGAATGGCTAATAAACCATGGATGTGAATTAAAATAAGTTTATCAGAATCTAAAATTAAAAATTTTTAGGAGTTCTATTTAATTTACAAATTTGCCTAAAACGAATTTTTGTCTTCCTTCATTTCTGATTGGTTCTAAAAACTTGCGAGTTCGAGCTGATATTTATTATTAGCTTAATTCCAGCGGTAGAATATTTTTAGTAATAGGATTCGACCTTATTTTTTTAACAAATTATTTTTCATTGCTTTGTTTCGTTTTCTTTTATTATCTTCTAAAGTAATCTTATTGGATCTCTGCATATGTTTATTTATTTATTTATTTACGTTCTTTTACATATCAGGAACAAATTGTTTAGTTAGATTAGATTCAAACTAAGCCTAAATCAAAGTTACTGTAATCAACTCTGTGGCATATCCTTTTGAAATGGTTTTTAATTAACAAATTTTAATAGCTCATGTGTTGTTTTGTTTATATTTACAAATAAAATATATCTTTTCTATTGAATCTTGTAACTGTTTAAAGTACGGGTAGTATCATAGTTTTAGAACTAATGAATGTTGTTAACACTGTCGCATTTTTATTTATTTATATTTAGTTGAGAAATTTCTACTCTACACGATGCTATGTACATTATTGTAAATTCACATTCTATTTGACAATAAAAGGTAATATTTCGGTGGTATTCAATTGAAAGGATGATTGGAATTATTAATATTGCTCTTTGGTAACATCATTGCTAATCTTATCAAACTAAAAAATGCTAGATGGAAATGTAATTTCAATCTGACTACCTGTTATATCTTACGTTTCAGTTTCTAAATACTCCAACTTTTTTACTTTACTTTCGCGCTACTTTAGTAGCTATGTAGCTGCTATATATTTTTGAATCTCAGATAATGTATCCGTTTGAACACTTTTCAATTGATTGTGCGATTCATTTTATTATAATAAAATCAAATTGGGAAAAATATTTTGAGGTTAAAATTGAATCTACTATAATGGATTACCGTAATCTTTTCCATACATGTTAAATACTTTAATAGCAATAAGAATAGCTGTTGATAAGTGGAGGAATTCACTATTATTAAATGTTTGGTATTTTGCAGGAAAGGCGAAAAGTTTGTGTTTTCAGGAATTTATATCTGAAATGCTCTTAATTCTTGTTCTTTTTTTTACGACAATAATTCATTGGCTTTTGCTTATTTACTCTTTTATTTGTTTATTTATTCGTCTGCTTTAGTTTATTTGTTTTTAGCAAAAAGAAAGAGGAGGGATGAAGAATCACTTTACTGCATGTAAATAAGAGAGATAGAGAGGTTTAAATGGACTTCTCTTGGGAATGATTTTTCCTTAAATGGATAACTGCTTGCTTTCTCTCTCTTAGAGCTCTTTTTATTTT